GCTCCCGGTTTTCCTGGTCTGCTGGAGACGGTCCCCAGCAGCCCAGAGGCACCGGGAGCAAAGCTGAAGCGGCAGCGGGGTGCCGCGCTTCTGAGGCTTTGCTCTGGCACAGCCTCAGAGGCGCAGGACCCCGTCGCGGCTGCGGCTTTGCTCCCGGTGTCCCTGGTCTGCTGGAGACGGTCCCTGGTCTGCTGGGCTGCCCCGCTGCTGGAGCCCCTCCACGGCTTTGCTCCGCGTCTTCCTGGTCTGCAGCTTTTCTCGCCCCGGAGTACACGGGTGGCGGGACCGCGAGGTCCCGCAGTCTGTGTCCTCCGGGACGAGAAAAGCCCCAGCGTATAAGACGACCCCGATTTTTTGGGGATGTTTTTTAGCATAAAAAGTCGTCTTATACGCCGGAAAATACGGTAATGTCTTTTTAAAATTGGTTGTCATTGCTTTCACTAGCATCCATCTCACTTCCAAACACAAGCAGTGCATGAGCTGAAAGTACATGGGAAGGACTGTTAGAAGTATCCATATTATAGACCAGCATGAGTGTTTTCAAGAGCAGTAAACTGTTCCAAGCATGATTTTGGTCCGGAGAATAAAAACAGTTTAAAAATCAGTCTGCAACATATCAGCAGTACTATGAAAAGGAATCTCATTTTTGGTTTACTGACCATGGACTATCTTCGGTCTGGAAAGGGTTTGAAGACTATTTAATTCTTTAAATGGTTCTTGGAATGTGGCAGTTGTATGAAAGAGCCTTGGTGATGCATCTCAGATTGTTGTTAGCCTGCATGGAACAGTAATCCTAGATGTATCTCAATTGTTACGGATACAGAATGATCTGATTTGAGAAGCCTGTCTCCTTCAGCTTTTGAGATACAGAGTGAAAGGGCAGGCAAAGGCTCTTGAAGTATGGGAGCTTGGATTTCCTACCCAAGTGCCAGCATGTTGAAGTCTAGCATACCTACTGTTTTGAAGGTCTGAGCTACTGGTTTTATTAAAAGAATGTTTCACTGTTAAATCAAAAAAATTAGCTGCTAAAAATGTCCACTGCTAATTGTTCTGTGAAAAATGACAAATATAACTTAGCAGGAGCAAACTGTCACTTCTGTAACATTAGAAGTTTGTAGTTCCTTTATTGTAATAATAAAATACTTGAAAGTTCAGATTCCCTGATTCCTTTATGCATCTAATACTGTAATTATTATTGGTACTTTAGTAGTGCCTCACATACTCCAGTCAGGATTCAGAGCCTCTCTTTGGTACAATAAATAATTCTGGACATTACTTGAAGAAAAACGAATGCATCTTTCTCTTCTATTTTAAGAACTCTACTGTTCACTGAAAGAATACACTAAGATAGAATTTGGTTGTTGCACTCTGGGAAAAAGGCCATTGTTCTGCCTGTTCCCATTCCTTGCAGAAAAATACTGGCAAAAATACTTGGTTTCATGCCAGCTGTTTTATTTATTACTCACTTCTGTTTCCTTTCTGTGCAGGATTTTGGAGATGGAGGTGCTTTCCCCGAAATCCACGTGGCTCAATACCCGTTAGATATGGGCCGAAAGAAGAAAATGTCCAATGCTTTGGCTGTTCAAGTGGATGCCGAAGGAAAAATAAAATACGATGCTATAGCTCGACAGGGGCAGTCAAAAGACAAGGTAATACACTCTTACGGCAGGAATCTGTATGTTTGGTAGCCTTAAACAAATTGGGTTAAACCTTTTTTTTTTTTTTTTTTTTTTTTTAAACAAGCTATTGTCATTTTGGCATTAGAAATCTAGATGGTGACTTTTAAACATTTGCATATTTTGTTCGATGTTTAGGGGGTGAGATAATACCAGTTAGATATGAGTGGCATGACTGGGAAGATAGGTTGACCCAGAGTTATTTGAGTCTTTTTTTTTGTAACTGTGATTATAACTTGGATTTTACAGAGGTAAGGTAGTATAGATGAAAGTACCTACTATAGTTACCTGTTGATGGCTAGTATTACACTGGAGTTAGGTCATCATGGAGCATTCTAAAGGCATGAGGGCCAACTTGTCAGCAGTAGCCTTCAGTCATACTTCTGTAATTTGGGGTTTTCTTTCTGGCTTATTCAGATGATAAAATAGCACAAGCACAACTTTTAGAAAAATGGACCCTGTGTGCTTTTATTGTAGCTATCATGCTATCTGGAGTGGCTCTCAGACCTCAGGGTACATTGTCAGAGATAGGTCAGACACTCCAAACTGGTGGTATCTTCTCTAATTAGATTTCAACAACCCAGTAACAAATGCTCCTGGATCACTAAAAGAGCCTTTCTATGAGTCACAGATGGTCCTCTTGGGCTCTCCAGTCTTTTTTACCACCTAGGCAAGCTGGACTTAGAGATAAATGGTTACTTACACCAAAATCACAAACATTCAGGTTGAGCAGTCATTTTCCCCAGACTGGTTTCTATCATATATTTCTCACCAAAGATAATGTCTGTAGCCAGTCCTGTAATAAACTAACCAAAGGTTTACTAACATAGAAAAAATAGTAAGAGTTATTTATAGGTTAAAACAAGCAAGCACATAACATAAATTGCAATCTCAATCCAAGTGACAGAGTTGTAGTGATCTTTCAATTCAAAGTATCTTTTACAGAAAACCCAGGGATAACTCTGGTGAATCTGTTGCTTCAGTTGGGAGTCCCTAGCCCTGTGAGAGTTCAAACAGCAAAGAGTTGATCGTTTTTCCTTGAGGCATTTTTTACCAGTAAGGGGCAACCTAGGCTAGTAAGTGGGCAGTATGAATTAGGAATGTTAGGAAGCGTGTAATTTGGTGATATTGTAGCTGACACAATTTTCGTTGGTTATATAATTAACCAGTAGGTGGTTCTGTGTTTAAAGAGTGCTGGCTCAGTCCTGGCTACCCCTGTTGCAGCTCTACGGGGAGGGGCAGAGAAAGGGGTAGGAGACGCTGCTGCAAAGCAGCCCTGGTCTGCAGGTGTCCCAGTGGGGAGCTGGGCCCACACGTGGACACGAGCTGTTGCCGCCAAGCAACCCCTGGCTGCTGTGAGCAGGGGCTTCTGGACTCAGCACAAGCCGAGATTGCGCAGTCCTGGTTTGCGCTGATCACTGCACCTCTGCAGAGCCACAGTGCAGCTGGCTCTGGAGTCGGCACAAGCCAGAACTGCTCAGTCCCAGCTCAAATCAGCTCCTCTGGAGTAACCCCTGCTGTGGTTCTGCAGAGGTGCTTATCAATTAATCATATAGTCGATACAAATAATCACATTACATCCTTAGCTTGCATACCTAGAATTTGTGAGATTCGCTGATTGAACTGTAGCAGCACTTTGATTGGATGCTGAGGGAGCACATGGCTCTCACAATTTAGTATTTGAATCAGCACATGCCTCACTTGGTGTTGCCCTTGCTTTAAGTGCACTTCACAAAAAAGCAACAGAATCTGGCAACACTGCATGGGGAATAGTAAACAAAATGTGTCTCAGGCCACACATAAAACCCCAATGGGCTGCAGGTTACCCTCCACTCATTTTTATATTTTCTTCCATAAACAAAATTAAGCTGATAGCTACATTTCCTACAGAAATCCCTTCCTCATGGAGGAAAAGGAATGCACATACCAAAGGTCTTAGATTTTTGATATCATACAATGGCTCATTTGCATGTAATGAACAGGATTTAACATCTTGTTAGAGACTCTCATTGAAATTACACGTTTTCCCGTTTGTTGTGTGTTCCAGTCACAGAGGTTTACAATGAAAATGCTTGTTTTCACTTTATAGCATAGAGTATAATTGCATGAGAACAATAACATGCAGCATGCTTACAAGCATTTTATAAAACACTAAACACAACTTAGCATCTAATATTTATTTTAATAATGCACAAGTAAGCAAGAGTGTAAATGTTGTGTGGGGTTGGGGTGTTGGTGTAAGTTGGCACCTGGCCTGCCAGCATAACAGTAACAATGACATTTATTTTGGTAGTGTTTGTGTTTTAATCCTTTTTCACTCGAGTTGTATTTTGTTATTGCAATTTCCATTGCATTGCAGTATGGGGTGGGCAGTGTTGCTGACTTAAAATAGCCATGCTGTAAGACTCCCTGGGCCCAGACATGCTTCCACCAATGTCAATAACAAAACTCTAATTGACTTCAATGGCAAGATTTGGCTTTTGTATCTGTAGTAGTAATTCCCAAGAGGAAGTGGCTACATTGGGTATTGTAGTGTCCTGAAATTCTGAAGACCATTTTGCAAACTCCTAAGCCCACTGTGAGGACCCCATATTTCAGAGGGTGTGGATGCGGATTGTAGACTATCAAAGCTTGCATTTTACTTAAACAAGTATTGGGGCAGGAGAGTTAGTGACATTTGACTAGACCAGCTGTTTGACCATTGCTTTGCTACAGTAATTATTACTCATCTCTTTCCAGTGTAACCCAAAAGGAAATCTAAAAAGAGACTGCTGAACATAGAGGGCTTTTTAATTTAAAATCACCAAGATGTTGATATAGATTAATTGTTCAGGAAATAAGGTTCTTCCTGATGGAGATTCCCAAGAAAGTTTGAGCACTGAGAGGCACACTTACTTTTTTACAGTGATGAGTGCTATTTAAAACCCCAGCGTGTATGGAGCAGAGGTGTTGCTTTTTAATAATATCAAATGCCCAATGAATGTGAAGGTGACTCAGACTTTGAGGGGTGAACATTTTCTTAAAACACTCGGAGGGCTAAAAATCATAAACTTCAAATAAGTTCAAAAGTTTAAAAATATCTAATTGACGTTCATTATGCAACTGTCAAAGTGTGAGGTGTCTAATAATTATAATAATTAAATACAGTGAAAACTCAGTCAGTTTTGTATGTTAAATTAAGGATGTGATAATGTACATGGTCAGTTAACGTTCATGGTTACATGCAGAACCCTTCCTTCCCCCATGCTGCTGCCCCTGTAGCAGAGGCAGCAGCGCAGAGCAGGGCTATGTGCGTGGGGAGCCAGCTTAAAAATAGAAGGCACTTTTCTTCAATCTTGCTTTCTCTAATGAATACACACGACACACTGTTTAGCCACATATAACTATCCTCAGGACTGGAGGTGAGAGAGAAAACAACTTGTGAATAATGCCAGTCAGGTTGATTAAAGAACTCAGATACCACAGTGATGACTATAGTACAGGAACATGACTAGAATAGACCTAGTAATTTGTGAAATATTTCATTATCCATATCAAAATATCATCTGCCTCTTTGGTCCTTCCAAAGTGATGTCAATCCAAAGCAGTCCTTCCAAAGTGATGTCAATCCTTGGTCTTTGTTGAGTGATCCTGAATTCCAGTTTCAATAAATAGATGATGCCTTCTCCACTTGAAATGCAGTGGAGACTTTTGATGTTAGTCAAATTTGCCATAGAACAAAATGGAAAAATCTTGTTTTGTTAGTGTTTGGGGTTATTACAGTCCATTCTGTAGATGTCTACATTTCAGTGATCCTTCTCATATATAGTTGATAAAACTCTGTATAGAGCCACAATCAAACATTGTTGAAAAAATATTTAAGTAGCTACAACATGACAAGTTTCAGTCAAGTTCTTCATTTACTCCAGTTTGTATGGTATTCTAAGCATGTACAAGGATCAGATCCTACTGCAAGGTGAAGTGTCTTCAGATATAATTAAATGATATGAAGGAATCTCTTCCAATAGCATACATGTAGTCTCTGCTTGTGAAGACTGTCTCAACCCACAGAAGGAATCTTTCAGTGAGACCAATAAATTTTTTCTTACTTGATTTCTGAGTAGATTGATCACTCCACATTGGAGTAATGTCAAAATGAAATACTAAGCCCAATAGTGATGAATCTCTTACCTGACTTTCCTTCATCCTTATCATCAAAAAGGTCCAAATAAAATGCATAAATACTTGTACTTTTTTACTTTTTTTATTTTGAAGTGGGGATATTGGTTATCGCCACTAATGTCAGACTAATCTCCATATTGCATCCACTTGACTGCCACTTTGCACACAAGTAGAATGTCTGTTTAGTGGGTAATGAGCTGTGGATTTAGTTCACAAAGCTCATTTGTGCCCCAGTCACCTGACAGAGGTATACTGTAATTTTGAGATAACTCCTTTAGTCTTCTCTTGTCTCCAAGAATATTCTGAGCTCCTTCAGTGTGCTTGGTTCTTCGTGCAGTGAAGCTCTTGGGTTTTATAGTTAATTACCATAGAGGAATAATGTTCTTCACATGTCCTTCACTCGTCTTTGTGAGATGCTGGAATATTGATGCTCATTTAAGGGATTATTAATTTTGGAGTATGTGGATAAGAAGCAGGAAATGCCTTTGTGTGCTAATTTAGCACTGAGGCCTCAGGTCAATTTTATAGTGAAGCATACACTATCAGGAGCAGTTTATTTCACAGTTCTACTTCCAACAATAGCTATTGTGAGGTTTTAACCCTTTAAGCCAGGATTTTCTGGTATTACTTATTGAGACAGATGTAAAATCCTAATTCTAGGTGCAGTAGGGATTTTTCTACATGACCCTTTTAGTAACACTCCTTTCCCATATTCTTCTTGAGGCTTAAGGCTTAATAATTGTGTGTGGGAGGACTGAATTATTCATGCTGGGAAAAGCATGAGGCAATTTCTCAAGTGTTTAACAATTTCAGAGTGGTAAAGATGATACATACAAGCACGATAGCAATTTAAGTTGTTTCCCTAATTCTTGAAAACTGAAATATAAATCTGTGTGTCTAGCTTTGTTTAGGGATCCTAAAAAGGAGAGAGATGGTCAGAGCACAGGACGGGGAGCCAGGAATTCATTGATTTTTAATCCCATCTCTAATTGCAGTTTGCTGTGTCATTTTGGGGCAAGTCACTTCTTTGCTTTAAGTGTTTCCATCTATAAAATGGGAGTGATACTATTTTCCTATTTTACAAACATATTTTCAGAAATCCTGATTACTGTGGTGCAAAGAAACTGAGTGATTGCTATATAAATGTTAAATACTGTCAAAAGGATAATCCATCTTCTGCAATGTCTCCTTCAAGAATGGTGCATTTCCATCTATTGTTCCACAGCACTGATAATTATAATTTGTTTCAGGTAATTTACAGCAAATATACGGACCTTATACCTAAAGAAGTTATGAATGTGGATGACCCCGACCTGCAAAGACCTGATGAGGAAGCAGTGAAAGAGGTAATATATGCACTGGTGAACACAGCTGTTGGCACTACTTTTTTTTTTTTCTTCTTTGTTAAGGTACTCAACATTTGTATTCCTGATTACAGCTAACTGAAAAGACGCGAGCAGCCCTGGAGAAGTCTGTCTCCCAGAAAGTTGCAGCAGCCATGCCAGTCCGAGCAGCTGACAAACTAGCTCCTGCTCAGTATATCCGGTATGGATGGAGTTAGAGTATATAAACCTTTTGTGGAGAATTGGTTAGTAAAGAGCGTGCCTTGATTGTTGGGAGGAGGCTCCTGTTTCTTGAAACCTATGCCTTTGCAGCAGGCTGCAGAATGAAACTTATTCAAGATCTAGAGACTTCTTCATCATTTACAAGTTAGTTTGAAGCACGTTGATTGTCTCCACTCTGGAAGTTAAAACATTTAAAGAGATTATTGCTTTCTATGGAATGTGATTAGTCCCATTATGGAGGGCACAGTGTGCTGTAGAAACTGACTACAATATGTGTGTTTTCACTTAAAATAAGGTCTTTATAACCTGGCTCTCTATTACATAAGTTCTGAACTACAAGGCTAGTCTTTATTTAGAAGGAATCTTAGCTGCAGCCACAAAAAGCTCCCAAACCAGAGTTTGGGTCAGTTCACAGCATTCTTCTGCAAATGTGTTAAAGGATTTTCCTGGTCATAGCCAGGGAGTAGTCAAACAATGTCTCTGTGCATCTGTCTATCTAAAACTCTTTTCATCTTCAGTTTGTAATTTAAATATTATATCCTGTTCTGTTGCAGAAACAGGACACTATAGCCTGAAAAGGGGCAGTTCAAATCCTGACAGACTAATTAGATGCATTCTGATGTTGAAGCACATGAAAAAATTGATGTGAACAAAACAAAAATACAGAGCAACTAAACGAGAGGAAAGATGAGACTGGCAATGTACAGAGAATTGAATGTTTCTCAACTACTTTTCTCAGATATACACCATCTCAGCAAGGTGTGGCCTTCAACTCTGGAGCAAAACAGAGGGTTATTCGAATGGTGGAAATGCAGAAGGACCCTATGGAACCTCCAAGGTTCAAGTGAGTGTCTGGAATTTTTCATAGCAAGTAGTTGTTTTTGGTAAACACGTTTTCTTATTGCCTTTTCATCACACTATTTTTTTCCTTAAGGATTAATAAGAAAATTCCTCGTGGGCCACCTTCTCCTCCTGCTCCTGTAATGCACTCCCCCAGCAGAAAGGTATTGAATATAACAGCTGTTTTCTGGTCTGGCTTCTAGTGTGGGTTCTCAAATCCCACTCTGTTATCTTGCTAGTACCTGTGGTGCTTTTTCTCCTTTTCTGTGCCTTGAAGTATGTTGCTAGGTGATTAATTTAGTGTGAAATGTAAAGTTCTGTGCCTGGACAGTGTTGAAAATGTATCTTTCTTATATGTCTTCACAAAGATTGATTTAGATTTCCTGCTTTTACATAGGCTCACATCTGTCACTCTCCTTAGCTGAGGGTTGGATGAGGCTTTTGATTTAGCACATCCGTACTGCTCTTTGACTAGTATGCTGTGTTTGTTTTGTGTATTTCTCTTATATGTTGATTAAAAAATTAAGGAAGCAGTTATAAACAAATAAATTCAAGTGACATTTCACTATCTAAGCTAAAGTTTTTAAAAAGGCATAATACAGTGGTCAAACCGAGGGTACAAATCAGTGGTTCGATATATCTGGCTAGTTATTTACTACATTTAGTAATATAGTAATGAATAAGTTAAGAAAAACAGTCTTAAAAGTTTTACAAGAAAGTTAAGGGGAGACATTCCTTAGGACTTGAGCAGTTTAGCTCAGTGCCTGCTGAGAGGCAATGGCTATTGCTTGGTTTTAGGAAAATACAGTTCATAAGGTATTGTCCCCCATAGCATTGCTTTTGGCTTTTTCTCCCATTAACATTCACTGTTTGAAAAATTTTGTTAAGCTTTGTTTAACATATTCCCCTTCACACTTTAACACAATACCTGCATCTTTCCGGCAGTCTCACACAGACACAAAATGATTTATAAAATCCATAGGAGCTTTGGAACTATATTAATTTAACCCAGAGTTCTCTTACTATTTCAATAATTCACTTAGAGGTTAACTATCTACTTTGGAGAATAGTTTGAAATTCATAAAGAGAGACATACATTCACACACAAACAAGTGATCATTAAAGGGATTTGAGCATCCTCAAATTGCTTTAGACAAGGATTTCGATACCTTTATAAAACCTTTAGCTCATGTGTTTGGTCTTTGTTTGCATCTAAATTGATGTCTTTGAAATGTAATTTAAGCACATTTCTATATGAGTATATAGTTGGTCTCTTTTCTCTCTTAGTTGTACTGCATGCTTGGTTCAACTGGTGTTGTCTTTTACCACCATTCCTTTGGATGGCCAGTCCAAGGAGGAGGAGATCTGGCTATAACTTTGGGTATTGTCTTGATGGTTGGCACCTTTGTAGAGCTTTATGACTTCTCTGCTGCACTCCAAAGGACATTCTTGCCCAATCAGGGATTCCAGGATGTTGGCCATAACTCCTCATGCCATTTATTTGCAAAGAGCCTTAGTTTTTTTAAATTTGTCCCAGTACTTCTCTAGCTGTCTTTTTTGAGATAGGAAATGGAGAATTTTCCTTACTGTTATAATTCTAAAAATGTTCTTCTGTTCCCTCCCTCTTCTGTCCTTTCTCTAATTCAGATGACTGTGAAAGAGCAACAAGAGTGGAAAATTCCTCCATGCATTTCAAACTGGAAAAATGCAAAGGTAATTAAGTTGTCATAAATTCAGCTTTTAATATTGCATCCTGCTGGGAGTCTTCTGTGAATGATCTGCAGCCGAATAATACTGGCTTTAAACCTCTAGAGCTCAGTAAACTTGCTGCTTCCAGAGTGGAGAACAGTTGTAGAGCTCAGTTTTTTTCTTCCCTATTTATTAGAAGTGTCAAGGTGTGATAGGAGCACAGAGCTGATATGGAAGAGATTATATATGTTGAGAGAAGAAGTGGTATTTAATAAAATCTGCATAATATTGCAGTATGTAGAGTTTTAAATCAAAACCTCTGGGTTCTCTGTGAAAGGCATTTAAACTGATAAAAGGAGAAAGTAGCATCAGGGCAGAGTGCATTTCTTTACACTCACTCAGACTCTCCAGATAGTTCTCACTTATGCCTTCTAAAACTAGTGAATTTTCCATTTCCAATTTGACTAAATTATTTCCCAGCAGGAAATGTGTGTGCTGTGCTACTCTGCTTCTGTCAGCAAATCAGTGTTTGCAGGCAGTAGTACTAATAAAATTGCAGTGACTATTATGACCATTCTCTCAAACTGACCAAGTTGCTGCTGTGCAGAAAATCCAAATGAAGGAGGGAGGAAAAGCAACATGCTGTGGCACTTTTTTCCTATCTAAATTCAGCTTTTTAACTGTGCTTCACAGTGATTAGAGACTCCAGTTTTAAGTTAAAACTGTTTTTAAACCCCAGCTAAACAAAAAATTCATAGAAATCTGCCCTAAATATTTCCCTAAATACCTGTAACATTCATAGACTTGCATTTTTTAGGTGAAGGGAGACCCTGTTTCTCACCCACACTTGTGTCCTGGTGATACAGAGCCCTGAAGTGACAATTTTATATGTATTAAAAACATTTCGGAGAAATCAGCTTTTAAAAGCAATTTTGAAAACTGGCTAACATCAGAAACACTGTTCTTAACACAAAGAGCTGAGCTATATCAATGGCATCTTGATAAAGATGCTAGTCAAAAAAATAGATTATCCTTGTGGGAAAAGGGAGACTGAAGACGATGAGGTTTGTATTCTCTGGTATAATTATACAAATACATAAAAAGCAAGTCCACAGGAGCATATTAACGGCGAGTAAAGATTTTGATTTCTTTGTTCAGTAGTCCATGTTTCCTTCAGGTGATGAAATATCTGTCTGTTTTCATTTCAGGGGTACACCATTCCATTAGACAAGCGTCTGGCTGCAGATGGCAGAGGACTGCAGACTGTTCATATTAATGAAAACTTTGCAAAGCTGGCTGAGGCTCTGTACATTGCTGACAGAAAGGTCAGGCTGTTGTTTAATCTGTTTAGTTATGGTTGGTTTAATTATTTTCTTCCACATAGTTGATTTTTCACAAGGAAATAAAAATGAGTGAAGTTGTAGCTTTCTACTTCATTTTCCTCTTGTGCTGATATGACACACAGGGATCTTATCACCAAGATCTTTGAATCAACAGCTCAGCATGGGCTCTCCTCCAGGAAGCTTATAGCTCTTTTCTTAGCCTTAACTACTAGGCTTTGTTTCATGTTTATGATCTGATTCCTATTGAAAAGTCTGTTTAGTTTTAGAGCTGTTGCTCTTCTTTGTATCCCTTGTCCTAGCAGCATATTGTTTAACAAGTGTTCTCATGCAGGCTCGAGAGGCTGTAGAGATGCGTGCCCAGGTGGAGAGAAAGATGGCACAGAAAGAGAAGGAAAAGCATGAGGAAAAGCTCAGAGAAATGGCTCAGAAAGCTCGAGAGAGGAGAGCTGGGATCAAAACGCACGCTGAGAAAGGTACATTCTTCCTGTCACTCCCTGCAAGAAATCCTGTTCAAAATATCAGTTTCTTTCACTAATTTGTGAGTGCAGTCTGAATTTGAGCCCGATGCTCCTGTCAGTGAATGCTGCAGAGAAGGTCCTTCAGAAAGCTTATAGATGCACTCTGACCACAACAATAAGCAGCTTTGAGGGATTTGTAGAAAGAACCCTTGACTTAAAGGAGGGGCTGTGGCAGTGGCAGGGAGAGATGGGTGGGGGAGGACCCCAAACTAATGCACTTCCATTGTCAAGAGTCTTCCAATATTTCCATTCTGATTCTCTTCACAGGACTATAACTGAGTTATATATTTACAACAACCCCACACAGGGATAGGGTCACAAGCCAAGAACAAATCTGACTTAAGATGTAAATGAGGTTTTTTATAAGTCTTTAAGAATGTCACAGGATTTATTTTGTGCAGTCCTATAGCTATTTTTTAAAATATAAGTGTGCATACTTTAGTTTACACTGTGCACTAGATCTATTCGTTACTAAACTATGAATCCCAAGTACTGGAATACATGCAGGGCTTGCCAAGCAGCAACGAGCCCCGCTTGCCAGCCACGTGGTTTGGCATGCTGCACATGCACAGACTGTGCTGCTTGGCTGTGCCGGTTTGTAATCCACTTGCCACGGGCGAGTAGATTACACTAATTGTTGAGCCCTGGCTGTATGCTCTGGTTTGAAATAGGTAATAAATCCACAGAGTTATTGGATGTTCCCTACTGCTGGAAGTGCATGTATGCCAGGATTTGTTCTTTTGATACTAAAACCTAATTTTAACAAAACTTTAAAACATAACTTCTGAGGTATATGGGGACATATCCCTGTGACACCCTTTAACATGCCTGCGAGTTGTCAAGTGTTAATTCCCAGTCATTACAGAGAGAAAAGTATCCCCTGAGGATTTAACTTAACCCCCTGAAAGCCAAGAAAATATGGTTGAGACAGACTGCATCCTTCATCTATCATGTCAAGCCCAGGTGTTAGAAAAACACTTTAAATGTCATTAGAAAGGGATGATTTTAATTCTGCTTTTTCACTTTCTGTAAAACATCTAACTAATTCAAAAAGTGGTAGAAGTCCTTCATCTTCTATAAATCAACATTGACTTCAGTTACTGATGTGATGACTGGTTTAACTATCAAATAACAAGTAGCTGTCTATAATCCACAATCTTAAATGTCTGAACAGAGGATGGGGAAGCTAGGGAGAGGGACGAAATCAGACATGACCGGCGTAAAGAGAGACAGCATGACAGGAATCTTTCCAGAGCAGCTCCTGACAAAAGGTGAGTGAGGAAGAGCAACATATCTAATAGCTATATTCATGAAACTCCCTTCGTAGGCAGGGAAGTAACAGTAAAGAAGTTGCTACTGATGAGCCAAATTTGGTTGACCTGTATTGGTGAGAGGGCTTCACTCGTATTCCTCCCTCACTCTTTCAGTTACAGATTTTGAAATCTTGTCAACATTGCCAGTACTGTGTGTAAGTTCCTGGAGCAGATGTTTAGATTACACAACTTGTGTCCCACGTGTTTCTGCAAAGCTTTTAACTTCATGGAAATTGCGTTTACAGGATGTGCAAGTTGATCTTTAGGAACTAACACTAAAAACCTGCATTTGGCCCATTCAAGCTGGTTTGGGCTCAGGATGCAGAATCTAGTCTTGAGTTGGACCCTGAGCCCAGAAATCTACAGTTTTGCAGCCCTAAGAGCCTGAGTCAGCTGAGAGAGAATGGCTTTGGGCTTTTAGTTGTAGTACAGAGGTACCCTGCAAGTAGTGAGAGTTTTGTAATAATTAACATGGCACTTAACCACTGGAAGCTAATTTTCTTGATCAAAGCTACTTCAACTCAAAAGCTCTCAAACTTAGATATATACCCTGAACAAGAATAATTTGTCTGAAGGCATTTATAAATGCTGAAAACATGTTGACAAATTCAGTTGTGAATCTTTAGTGATACAGAGTGTAGGAACCTTGTAGTCTCAGTTGAGATGAAATTTCTGACCACAGAGGTCAATTGGAAACCTCCTGTTTACTTCTGTAGGGCTAGGATTTCACCCTGGTATGTGGTTCCAGTTCATTAAACACTTGAATTCACCTATTTGAATTAAATACCAGTAAGTTTAGACTTTTCAGGCTTCTCCTGCTAAGCCTGTGTATTTTGCCAGGGCAACTTTTAAGCTCTGAAAGACTTCACAGAGCCATGAGTTTACACTTTGGAATTTATATAGTGATCGGCTCTAAAATGATCACAAAACCTTCTAAGATAGTCCTCGCTACTGGTTCTTACTGAAAACAAATACAGACGTTTCTAAACCAAATCAGTTTGTGATGTTATAAACAGTGGCAGAGCACACTCAGATGCCTTGCTTAACTAAAACATGATTTCCTCAAAATGTCTTCTGTGTGAAGAGACCCTATGTTAACCTCTAACCTAAAAAGAGGAAGTTGGGGGTCAAAATCCAGCTTCTCGTGGAAACTTAGTCATCGCTCTAGCCGCAGGTCATAATTTTCAATCTTAATCAAAATGATTAAAGTTATCTTCCAAATGAACCCTGTTTATTTTTGTTTGTTTTAACTCAGGTCAAAGCTGCAGAGAAATGAGAACAGAGATATTAGTGAAGTTATTGCCCTAGGTGTTCCTAACCCTCGGACATCCAATGAGGTCCAGTATGACCAGAGGCTTTTCAATCAGAGCAAGGTAAAGAACTGAGACGTTTTCCCATGTGTTTTATTTCTGGAAGGTGAATGTTGGGCCCATTCATCTCTTTGTAGAGAGTGCAGTACAGAGACTGTGATCTCTTTCTGCTGAATCTACAGAGGAAAGGTATGAAGGCAGATAGCTAAAGTGACTCCTACTTTGTTGTGCAACATGTTCTGATTGCCTTTTATTCAGTGATTGGATACTCTCTAAACTAGGGGTGGGGAACCTATGACCCAGGGGGCCAGATCCTGCCCCTGACATTCCTTGAGGGCAGGGGACTGGACTCTATGACCTCTCGAGGTCCCTTTCCGTTCTAGTGCTCTATGATTTCCTGGATCCAATCCCTGAAGCTCTGGACTCCTCCCCAACATAGGGGAGCCGACACTCCAGCCTTGCATGCTCCATCTCTGCAAGGCTGGAGCCCCAGCTCCCCACTGAGGGGGGCTGGAATCAGACAAACCATGGCTGCATCTGACCCACAGACTACCTGGTGAGGGGGGACAAAGCAGCTCTGTATGCTGATGTTCCCCCTTCCTCTGCTGGGGAAATGGCAGCACAGCAAAGCACTGCCAGGAGGTGGTTTTTTCCTCACTGCTCCAATTGGCTGTAATCATGGTCAATAGGAGTAGCAGACGGAAGCACCAGGTGGTGGCAGGGGACATGGAGCCATGTGCATCCCCAGGGAGCTGCACCAGGTAAGCACACCCCTCATCGCCCGGACCCTGCAATCCCACTTCCCTCTTGCATCCCCTCCTCTGATTTTAAAAAGAATACCTAGGAATCCTAGAACGGTTACAAACGAAAATACTTTTATTACAGTATAATACTCTGTCTAAAACTGGTGCGGTATGTTAAACTGCTGTATGGCAGGGCAGGTTGAAATAATCCCTGTATATACAATGTAGGTGCTCTTTCCTGCTCCCTGCTGGCAGGGCCACATGTCCCTTGCACAGCCAGTATTTGTAGCAGTGAGAATTCATGATCATTAGATGTTGTATATTGTACCTTCCTCTAATTCATTGGCTTAATATTATCTCACTATGCTTCTGAAAATTCACATATTCTATGCTGATGAATAACTCCTGCATTAACCAGCTGCTCCTTTTCAGGGCATGGATAGTGGCTTTGCTGGAGGAGAGGATGAAATTTACAATGTCTATGACCAGCCTTGGAGAAGTGGTAAAGATATGGCCCAGAACATTTACAGGCCTAGTAAAAATGTGGATAAAGACATGTATGGTGATGACTTAGAGGCTCGAATAAAGACTAACAGGTAAGAAAAAAAGAGAAACTAAGTCTCTTCCTGTGCCACTTAAAACAATCTGGACTGATGATCATCTTGCTTTTGCTGCAGGTTTGTTCCAGATAAGGAATTTTCTGGCTCAGACCGTAGACAGAGGGGCAGAGAGGGACCTGTGCAGTTTGAGGAAGATCCCTTTGGTCTGGACAAGTTCTTGGAAGAAGCCAAACAGCACGGGGGTTCTAAGAGGCCCTCTGATAGCAGCCGCCCTAAAGAACATGAGCATGAGGGCAAGAAGAGGAGAAAGGAGTGAATGGACTGGCCCAATTGAGCACCAGGAATGGACTATAAGATGGGACTCCATGCTCATTACATTTTTATTCTATAAGCAGGAGGAATATGTATAGTGGATGGTCACATATGAAGCAGTTTAGCAATTCTGTGCAGTGGAGACAGATGAGCATAATGATTATTTTAAGCAGGCCAACAGCCCATGAGAACAAAGGAGGGAAGATATTTCCATCATTCCAGGGTATATTGTTATGCAGAGCTTTAGCTGTGCTACATCCATGTGCCCTATCAGCACTCAAGCATTCTGTCCTCCCATCTCAGGGCAAGATATGCTTGCCTAAAGCTTTTTTTCAACTAGCAAAGCTTTTGCTTAGTATGATAGAAGTACTCCTTGTGTATATAGCTAACCTCCTGCTTATGTTATAATAAATGGAATGTGGGGGAGCTTGTCAGATTTCTTATGGTTCACTGTTCTCTCCGGTGGCTGTATAGTTCATATTTTAGCTGAAGGGGAGAAACAAATGGATACTGTTTAAAAGTGAAATACTCACACATTTCCACTCAGTAACATTTTTATTTTAGACTCTTTACATGTTGGTGAAATAAAGTCTCCTGCAGGCTGCTAACTCATGTCAGCAACTCCTTCATTTGCGTATTGACTTGGAAAACTTCTGTGTTTCTGCAGTCGAACCTGTAGCTGAAATATTGAAAGCAGCTGTTTAAACCATAATTGAAACATCTATTCAACTTCAAACAGAAGACAACTTAAACCTGCTCCATCCCCATTGATCTCATTGTGGGACAAACTGTTTCAGGAGCCATAAGCATGAATACTAGATTCACAACAAGAAAGTTAAAAATAGTTGCTTCCTCAGAACAAGTAAAACTAGTTGAAAGTAATGGTCTAGGATTTAGTGAGAAACTGCCTGTGCATGGTTTTCCCTAATGAGGGAAAACAGACATCTCATTACAAGAGTAAACTCAGCCTTTCCTATAGACCAGTCTAATGATTTTGCCTTTTTCCTTCACTAATATTGCCAACTCCCTTTTACCAAGTTTATTAGCCTATTGTCTAGAGTAGACTATCCTTGTTCAATATAAAAGATGCTACAATTTGAACCCAGTAAATCCCTGGCATCCTCTCTAAAGTCTAAATTCCTCTATCACTTCCCTCTTGCAATATTGTGAAAATCGTATTTAACTAACACTTCCCTTTTGCAATATTGTGAAAATCGTATTTAACTAAAATCATCATTAAAGGGAAACCACCCTTGAAATTCAGTAAGTTAAAACTAGGTAGTATAAGTCAATGTTATTTTTAACCCTGTTACTGAAACAGTGTAGGAAATAATTAAGATACTGTCAAATGTGTACTTAGTATATAAGAACTCCTCCCATTTTTAATTTGTAAAAGGTAAAATGTTCAGACTCAAATTTACACTGACTGCATTCCTTAGAGCCAGGCTGCTTCTTGCTCTTGATTTAGTGTCTAGATATTTTATCACTATTATTTTAGTAACAGCAAATATTACTAAGGTTGAAAGTAGTCAGGATCAGCTGAAGCTTCGTGTAGCTTTTGAACTTTCAAAGCTATGCATTTAATATGTCACCCATCAACATTGCTCCTCTCATTGGCATTTAAAAAAAAAAAATTTACTCTATCCTCCTGCGTCCTAGTAGAGAAAGGGGTCTAGACAATACTGACAAAAGGCCTAGTTCTGTAAGAATGAGTCCAAGAGAGGATGTAGTAGTTTGGGGCAATCACTGACTTAAGAGGACAGTGTCTCTTCCTTTTGACTAAGGCCATTAGAGGAGACAGCACTTTTCTGATGCTTTGTTCTAAGCATGTTTGCATTAAATCTGGCTAACTTAGTTGTTGACTGTAGCATTATCCACCCAAGTTTTCAGACAATGAGCCACCACAATGTGGAATTAAGAAGGGATTGATTAAATTACACAGGGAAGAAATAAATGTAGGCAAGAGAACATGCCTGTTTTGATACAAAACCTAAGGCGTAATATGGTTTTGGATATCCAGATAGTCTTAGTGACCAAAACCACAGGCAAGAGAACATGCCTGCTTTGATACAAAACCTAAGGCATAATATGGGTTTGGATATCCAGATAGTCTTAGTGACCAAAACCACCACCTTCTAGCCCTTCTTCTGTACTTAGTGAAGGTCTTTGATTGATGTTGGGTGTCATCCAGGCTTTTGAAATTCAGAATGAATGAATGCAATGCTTTCCATGAGACTGCTTCGGCTATGTTTACTTGAATACCTGCAGCTGGCTTGTACATGCTGACTCTGGGTTCTGGCCACATGACTGTTTAACTGCATTATAAATGCTTGTCCTAGAGCCCAGGCTCCAGAATCCTGTCAGGGGAGACAATCCAGAGCTTGAACACCAGTCCAAGTGTCTACACCAAGAGTGAGAAATAATTTTTGATGGGGGACACCAAGAATTTGGAAAGTGGTCAAGGATTGTATTTTTCCATATTAATGGAGGAAATGCATGGTTGGGATGGAGGTTGGGTGCAGAAGGGTGTGGGGTCTGGGAGGGAGTTTGGGTGAAGAAAGCAGTTGTGATCTGGGTTAGGAGACTCAGGGTTTTGGGTTGTGACCTTGGGCACGATGGGGTTCTGACCTGAAGCAGAGGATTGGGGAGTGAATATGGATGCAGGACAAGGGGAAGATGGCTTGGGTTGTGATCTGGGGCAGGGGTCTTAGGGTGCAGGATCTGGGAGGGGATATGGGGGCAGGAGGACAGCAGAGGGCTTGGGTTATCTGGGGTAAGGGGTCAAAGGGTTGAGGTGCTAGAGGTAGGCTCTGGCTAGGGGACTTGCTCAGAGCAGAGGGCTTGGGTTATGTGGAGTAAGGGGGCAAAGGATTGAGGTGCTAGAGGTAGGCTCTGGCTAGGGGACTTGCTTGCTTGATTCCCAGCCAACAGCCTTCCCAAGTAGACTCTGTGCCTGTTGCAGGGCCATGTGGTTACTGAAGGACTAGGAGACTGAGGAGGGAAGGGTACTTTCCACACTAACAGGAAGCTACCATTGGCCAGAAACCAGTCAATGGGATTGTGCTGGGAGTGGGAACAGCACACAAACCCTTTCTACCCTTCCCCAGGCTCACAGCTGCCCCTCCAACAGCATTTTTATCAGCAGTGTACAAGAGGGCAGGCAGGGAGTCCGCACACCCGATCTGGCAGCTTGGCACACTGAATCAGGCCTGAGCAAAACACCACAGTTAAATAGCTGGATAGCGTAAGCTGCACCAGGGGAGGGTGTTTTGCCCAGGCCTGGGCAAAACACCACAGTTAAATAGCTGGATAGCGTAAGCTGCACATGCTACTTCAGATGTTTAATTGCAGTATACATGCACCTTCCCTTGAAGGCCACTCAAACTCTTGGAAATGCAGAATACAGCTACCTTTTTAGTTGTAGGTATATCAAGAACAGAGCTATACAGACTACACTAACTCCTGTGTAATCTCCACTGCAACAGAAGTTTGTGGTTGTACGTTTAAATCCCATTACAGTTCAGGTTTTGCATGTCTTCATCTTCGTTTACATTCTAGCCCATGACTTGAATCAAGCAATACATATATATCAAAGGTCCCCAAACTGAGGGGGCATGCTTCCCACTTCCAGCCATATGCCTGACCCTAGTCACAGCTCAGCTCCTGACCCCATTCCCAGTAAGGATGGGTGAAGAGCCACTACACTCTGGCTGTGGCTCAGCTATACTCCTGCCTCTCTTCTGACCCCACTCTCAGCCAGGCATGGGAAAAGTAAGGGGGTTGTGTAAAAAGTTGAGACACTGATACAGATTGTCCCTAAGCTTATATAGGTGTGGAATAGATAAAAGGCTGTCTTAGCCCTCTATTCTTTAAATTTGTTTTCCTCCTTTATTCCAACATGGGGTTAAACTTTAAGTAGATTCTGCGATGGCTGGAGTCACACTGTCTGAAAAAGAAGCATGGGGTAACTTCAGAGCAAGTTCAGGAGTTGTAACTTGGGGAGTGTTACAGTTGTCAATTTTACATTATTTCATCTAAACAGTACAATAGATTAACTGAACTTGTGTTGAGAGAGGCACAAAGAGCACATATGGTCTACTCAGGAGATAAGACTTCAGTTTATTAAATGAAATGTTCACTTGAAACAAGCTGTTACCTTGGCTCCTTCTACAATGTGGGATTCCTTCCGTAATGCATTGTGAAGGCTTTCTTCTGACGAGAAGCCAACCCAGCAAAAGCCTTTGTGAAATCCTGTTTCTTTATCCTAGTCACCAAATACAAAAAGTGTAGCTCAATAGCCTGACAGGTTAACAATGTATATGTAGTACTTTATTACAAAGTTTTTCAGGATAAAGATCCTTAATCCATGAGAGAAAATGCAATTATTTCTTTCAGGAACCCATCATATCCTTTTCAGAATGCTTGTGCCCAACTGCCTTGTGAACATGAATTCAACTGGATGCTGCTCTCCTCCTCCCACAATTTGAATCCAGCAGCCAAAAAATACTTTCTTTTCAACAACTGTTTGAAAAGCTGGATATTTCTTCAAATCTGAACCTCCTCTAAGTGGCAGCATTTAAATGGTAGTTGAGCTAAATCACAAGACTTTGGAAAGTGAGGGAACATGGTAATAACAGTAGTTTAAGACACTAGGAAAATATAAGACAAGCAACATACATAGGAAAAATTGACATCCTACATTTGTTTTAATAGAATTGGCACCTGAGAACACATTACCATCCATGAAGGAGAAAACCAGTTACAATAGCCAAATCAACCAAAGTACCTCAGACATGAGCTTCAACTAGTTCTGCCACTGAATTTCAATCATGACTACTGACAACACCAGTACCAACTTGTGATGATTTTACTGTCTAGAAATTAGCCTTGTCACACTGTTCCATTTGTAGTGTCCAGTAATGAATGGTGATAAAGACATCCATTGTATTTTCAAAAAGATGATTTGCTGTAGTACTAAGTAATTCACAACAAGAAATTTAGGAAGAATAAAGGAATTGCTTTTGTAGTACTAAGTAATTTAACCCACTTCACAACAAATTTAGGAAGAATAAAGGAATTGCTTATTTTGTTGTCTATCTATTACTTAATACTGGGGTTACCAGTGTGGGGGAAAGATGCTTTTATCATGTTGAAGTATTCATTTTTGAGAAACTGGACTGGAAAACAGTGTCCTTACCAATTAAGACAACTTTAGACAAATATTTTAAACTTAACAGAGAATTAAGTGATATAGCATTTGGAACTGAATTTATTCAGAATGGAATGCATTCACCGCCATTCTGTCAAAATATGTTTAAATACGACAACTGAGGTAAGTGAGTTAGACACCTTTAAGATAAAATACCCATTTTTAGGAAAAAATAGTACCTGGCTGACGGATTGTTTTTCATAGGTGTGAAGCATCCACAAACGGAATGTTAAAAAGTATGTTTTTTTGTAAATGTGTAAAAACTGAATTTTTTGGCCATTACACGTTTACACACAGGAGGAAGGCAGTTCTGTGGGAGCCGCCTACCCCTCCACTTCCCCATGCTGCTGCCTCTGATGCAGAGGAGCAGGCAGGAGCTGGTACACGCTTGGCTCTTATGGAGCTGCCTCCCCTCCCCCTGTACTGCTGTATCATCACCAGAGGGAGCAACACTGGGAAGAGGGTGTAGGCTGCTCTACAGGATCTGGTTTTCACAGGGAGCCAGCTTAAAATTGTGTGCGCGTGAAAGGCATAGTTCCTCCTAAGGTGTGTGTCTGCACAGCCACAAAAATTCTTCTCCCTCCCACTTCCTCTGTAGAGCCATGCACCAGTACTCACGTGGCTGCTCTGGAAGGCAGGGCAACCTGAGACATTATGGTGAGGGAGCCACTGGGGCAGGAGGCTGTGATCTGCTGCGGCTGCGTGGCAAGTCTGCTCCAGTGGCCGGGGCTGCCACATGGTGGGGCAAGGAGGACCTGGAACCAGATCTGCAGCACAGCCAGGGTGGGCGTAGAGGTCTGCTCCAGCAGCTGGGAACGGGACCTACTGCATGGTGGGGGTAGGCGGGAGAGTGTTTTGCTCTGACATCCAGGAACGTGGGTGTTAATAAATTGGGTGCCACGGTGGCACACATCCAAACCAGTGCACATGACTTCACTATTGGCGCACAAGCCAAAACTCTCTGTTCATGGTTGGAAAATCTTAGGGTACGTCTAGACTACATGCCTCCGGCAACAGAGGCATGTAGATTAGACTACCCGGCATAGGAAAATGAAGCGGCGATTTAAATAATCGCCGCTTCATTTAAATTTACATGGCTGCCGCGCTGA